AATAATTATGTTTTTTTCAGTCACCAGGTATTTAAATAAGTAATAGGAGTTCCAATTGGAGCTAACTATTCTACTTGTATTGCAAATTTATATCTTTATTTTTATGAGAATAGGTTTATTAAGAATTGCATAAATCCAGAAATTTTGCTTTAAATTACAGATATATAGATGATTCAATTAGTATAAATAATCCTGAGATAAATAATTTTATTAACACTATTTATCCTGTAGAAGAAATTTTGCTTTAAATTACAGATATATAGATGATTCAATTAGTATAGATAATCCTGAGATAAATAATTTTATTAACACTATTTATCCTGTAGAATTAGAAATTGAAAGTACTTCAATTTTGGATGTAGAGGCACATTATTTAGATTTAGAAATTAAAATAATTGATAATGCTTAACTGATACCATTATATTCTCAATTAGATGGCCTGAAAACTTAGAATATCCTCTTTCTGATTATTGTAAGCTTTATTGTGTATTTCTTCTAAAAGCTAAGAAGAGTTTCATGGTCATAAAAATGAGCTCAAACAATAAATTCTTTGTTGAAAATAGGGAAGTCATAGAAATATAAATGTCATGCTACCCAAAAATGTTGAAATCTGATTGGTAGAAAAAATTACAAGCTTAGGGGCCAGTGAAAGGTGTGTCTAAACTAGTTTCTCTGATATCAGACTTCAGACAGTTTGTTCCGTTTACTGTGGTTTTTTCACTAATATCATACTTGATTTCACAAACAAATCTAGGTATATTTCAATGATCAAAACACAATTCATGTAACAATACTCAAGATAAATGTAGATAATAAAAACTTTTGGTGTAAGTTACCTTGTTGAAAAATGTATATAATGTCGTGATAAAACATTCATGAATACCTGCAAACTATGGAAATAATTCGATCGGGCAAATCGAGTATTTTAAAATCCAAACGAATAAAAATCAGTATGTACACTATATTATCGATACATGTCATTTAGATTGAATAGGTAATTTTATTTATTTTATTTATAAACACTCCGTTGAAAAATTCTATGAATATCCCAAAATAATATTTCATCAACAACAATTGATTCATCATGTTTTTTGTTTTTATCACTTGGTGTGTTGCACATTATCCATCAACTTCATGTCTCATCATTACTTATTAACCAGTGCATATTTATAGTAACCGATATCAGTTTTCAGCATCAGGCCTTATAACCATAGCAACCAACACCAGCATCCGTCAGTTCTTCCTGTGCGTCAAAGAACCAATAATTACATCTCTGTTTTTGAGAGTGGACAAGCTTGATTCTTTTCAAGGCGACAGTGACAAGCATATTTAAAATTATTGGGGTGCAAATAGGAGTGCCCAAAGGTCATGACAGCATGGAAATAATATTGAATGAAGCCACGTTTTGATTTATGTATAATTCAGCCACTTTATTGTAGTTTGCTTTAGCGCAAAGTCACATTGGGCTATCTGTTGTGTTCACCACAAGCATTCGGATCCCGGATTTAACTTTCTAAGTCTGTAAACTTACAGCTGACCCACCGGGTGGGGGAACGTTGATTGTTTAACTAATGCATGTTGATTGTAAATTTAATACATTTTAAATATATCAAAATCACTTTCGTTTGATTAAAAACAGCTATAAGTTCACTTTTGGGCTCATTATCGTAGTATGGTATACAACTATCTGACGGTCTGCTCATTTGAAAAATCCACCTTCAACATCCCAAACTAAATATTCTAGCAGTGCTTTGTAGATTTAAATTGGTACTGATCACCATCAGCTGAAAAAATACATTTCTATAAGTCTTAACATAATTTTTGTTAAGCTTTGATACGCAAGCATATCATGTGTTTTTTTACTTTTTGTAGTGATGTAGAAATTTTCGAAATATTTGATTTCTTAGTTTCTGTACTGTCATGACGGCAACACATGGTCCAGAAAGTCATTAATATTACCTTGTTCTAGTTGCTTCGTATGCTCTATTTAGAAGGTGACGTCTTTTCTGCCCACAAAGATATTTCAATGCAGTACGAAGCATCCAGGTTAAATGGGTTGGCACTAGAATACCGTTTGATGGCCAATTATGACATTGACTGAAAGTGATTACCGACCAAAGCTATCAGGGAACAACGGTCATGAGGTGACACCATCCACTTTACAAAGAAAGTGAGTTTACAAGATGAATTCGAACACATTTTTAAGTTAAGTTTTCTAATATACATTCTATGAGGAGGAACTGCTTTTTGTGGAAATCGGTGTGCTACTTCAATAGCAATCAATCTCAAGAGAAAGAAAGCTGCAAGGCTAGACACAATGTGGTAGAAAGGGACTGTCCAGACATTTGTTCAGCCCTTTAAAGTTGTCCAGACTATTACATGCTTATAAGAGTGACTCAGGCCAATTATCTCATACAGAAACTCTCCACAGTTCCTGGATGAACCTACTGTTATTTGTAGGTCTATCACCTCATATTTGTACGGAAGGCAAGTTACTTGAGAATATCACAACCTTGTATAGCCATAATGACTAACATAAACAAATTGGATGCATAAAATATATGTTGTGTACTCGTTATTTAAAGAAACGTGGTTTAATCCACACATAGTACAAATTTTTCTGTAATATAAGAGCCTTACGATTTGTGTACCTTACAACTAAATCTACAAATGTATAAGGTGCATTCTCTAACATCCCCTAGTGTCCACCACTGTTAAAGGAGAATCTACAACTCTCTGCCAGTTTTTCTGTCTAGTCAGTTATTCATCTGCGAAACGCACTTATTTAAGTCATAATTTTCTGGAACTTGTTTTGGAAACTTAATTTTTTTGCTTAATTGCATTTGAATTTGCTTTTACACATTTTTTAAGTAACATTGTTTTGTGAATATTGAACGAATGTGTATGGTTTTTAATCTGAGTATAAAATCACTGTTTTCTTTAGATGGCAATGCTAGCCTTATCCAGGATATCTTTTTTAAAACCTCCTTTTAGATTAGTTTATACTACTTGCTGGTGAACAAAGTTTTAATTGTAGCATATATTTTAAATATTTGTAACATTCTTTTTTTTTTGCAGTTAACAAAATCACAGTACCACATGATTTTCTATTTGCCAATAATTTTATAAGAAGTTATCTAAACATTTCATCAAATTCATCCTTACTTTTCCTTACTAACATTTTGTAGTAGTGTGCTTGGCTTTAAAATTTTACCCATTACGTATAAGTTGTGTTAGACTAACAGAATTTCATTCACATGACAAATAACGCTTTTGAATCAAAAATTATAGTATGCACACAATGTTCTTATTAAATGATAAAAGTAATTTTGATTATTGATTTGAATATTGAAAATTAAAGAAATCATTAAGCTTCAGATGAAATTTTGTTATATTTTCTGCACTTAAATGACTTTGACTTCAAATTTGATGATAAGGTACCCACTTTGAAGCAATAAAGTCTAAAGATGGCTTGATTGGATAATAAAGGAAACCTGATGATGACAAAACCTTGTTAAAAAGTTGTACATTTGTTACTCTGTTAAACCTGTAAAGTTTTCTTCATTACCCATTCCAGTCAATTTCAAACTTTATTGACATTGACTTCACATGTTAAATGTTTACTGTTTGAAAAGTTTAATTTGTTGCAAGTCATTAAGTACGATAATAGGCATTGTACTGTATACATTTGTGCAAAACCAGTACTTTTGTGTTTGTAACCCTACCTTTAACTTTCCAGATTTTGGACTTTTGAACTACACCTTGATACGTTTGAACATACTTTTTGGACTTGTGCAGAGGTTGTAGTAATTACAACTAATTTTCGTACTCTGCATGAAATTTCCTACAAGAAAACACCTTCAATTCTTTTTACAACAACAAACAAAACCATAAACTTCTCACCAGCTCTTGGGTTACTAATAACTGGTAGTTCTTAATGTTTAACTTGTACATGAATGATCAACAAACAGTAAAATTTCTACATTATTTTCTAAATAGATAAACTATATTCTGTGTTGCATGCTGTTCTGCTTCATTGTTTCCTCAATGGGTCATTTGCAGAATAAGGTGATAAATTTATTAGCAGAAAGTGAATTTTATTATCATCATAGTATTTTACCTCTGAACTATACTAGTCTTTTACAGTTCTGGCAATTCTGTTATTACAAAATAGTGGTGGTAGAATCACAATGGAAAAGGTGTTGAAATTATAATCACAATACATAATCATATGGACATTTAAATCAGATGAAATTTATAACTTTGAATATAACATTGAATCACACAGATTAGACAATATTTTCTTGAAATCCCAACCTTCTTTAATACTTTATAATTAAAAATGAATGATACATTTTGTTATGGTTGGCAAAGCCTATTAGAATTTGTGACTTCAAAACACATTGCAGTTCAATTAGGGCAGCCATACTTAAGAAAAAGTTGTGATTACATGATATTTTAAATGGTTTAATGCAATAAGTATTTCAAAAAGGCACAAGGGATGAGTGAATACATATATAATCTAGACCTAAAATTTTAATGGAACACTCCTTTTAGCCTTTTTTTCATATGTTTTCAAATAAACACAACATATAACTGCTCAGACTCATGATTCTTGAACTGTTAAGGTGGCTGCAAACTGTATAAATGAGGAACTTGCTTAATTCATTAAATTTTATAGGAAAATACGATTTGAAAAGGCCAAAGATGCTAGGCTATAAAGGGTTTAAGCTTATACTTGGGAAACTAAAATATTTACAATGAAGATATGATATTTTGTTTTCTTATTTTTTCATTATTAGTTTGTCAGGAATTAACATGATAATAAATCACAAGAAAAAAAAAACACACTTAAAAACTGATAAATCCAATCCAACTAATAAATCCCATCTAATATTAGATACCTCAACCATGATTCCTCTTTACATTACTGGCAAAATTAATTGGAGAAATTTTATAAAAAGAGACAACATGCATACATACATAAAAATGTATACATTCAACAGAAATTCACAGAGATCTTTCTGAATATTCTGTTATGAAGTAACTAGACTAGTGTGTGACTTGAAAATATTTGATTCATACAGTACATTCATGACAAGAGTTTCATACCAACTACCTACTGTTAAAAATAACAATAATAATCTCAGTTACATTTACTAGTACCGTTAAATTAATATGAACTACTTTTTTAGTTTTTAACTCTCTTTATATTTTCCTAAGTTGTTTTAACTAAAAAATTAAGTCTGTTTGCATTTTACATAATGTTCATATATATAGACATATTTAAGTTGGATAGGTTGTTAATTTGGTTAAAATCGGATTATTTTGGAATGTATTGGCAGTGTTAAATCATGGCATGTTTATAAAAATAAAAAACTAAATTTTTCCTAATTGAATCATCACTGTTCTTACATAATCATATTCAGTTTAGTGACAGCACACACTAGCTCCCTAACATTCACAAATGTTCTTATGGGAGTGGTTTCAATCATCTGTTTTGCAATTATAGCTGCTATACCAACATGATAAAAAAGCACTGAGAAACATATGTATATAAATATGTCACATTTTTCATTAGGCTCAATCCAACATATCATACTGTAATATAAACTCCTGTGAAATCTGAGGTCCCATCTTTCAATATCATCATCTAGCCAAAAATAATGAAACTGTCAGTACTCCATAGCATGAATACAGTATGTTTTACAAACTTTTATGTAGGTATGTTTGGACAAATTGTGCCATTGCTCATGATCAAATTTTTTAGCTTTTACTTATATTTAAAGCAAAGACTCATTAATGCTGCTTGAATATAAAAAAAAAAGATATATATATAACTGGATGAAACAAATGGTTACATGAACTGTTAAGTATCAAACTTCAGTTAATTTCAATAACACTAATCCTTTGTTTCAAGTATCAAGATATATTTTTGATACTGCCATCCAAAATTTTATAATGAATTCAAGTGACTACAAAAAAGTATTAATTCAATATGAAAAATCTTTAGATTTATCCACCAGTCCATTTCAACTTTTATGAATGAAAACAGTGTTCCCCCAATAGCTAATTATGTGAAGAAGTAACAGAAAAAATACTTTTCCTTCAAGTTAAAATCTGTGAACCAATACAAACCACACCAAATTCATTAATCTGTTTTTTGTTTTTAATAGTAGTCTGGACAGATTCTTATGGCTAAGCAAGTAAATCTCAAGATATTGTAGATCTTACACAACCATAGTTAGTATTTAAAATCTAATAACACTTTGTATTGAATATAAATACTTATTAGGGATTTATAGCACTCTATTTTAATACATACATAATATTATTTTGATAAAAACATCAAGATTCAAAATCTGTTAATATCTATTTCATTCAAATTAATTTTATGTTGGTAGTACAATGCACTTTAAATACAATAATTTCTTGACACAAGGCTTCTGCTAAACCACTCTGACACTACTAAACATTTTTAAGTAACATCTGATTTACATATTTGTAGAACCACTGTTTATTCTGATCTTCAACAGATTTCAAGACATTTCTTTCTCTCTTTTTTTTTGAGCAACTTATATTTGTACATTTGGTGTCTATGGAATAACAATTCTGTATTCACAGCAAAAACTTGAGAAGAGGTGATATCTGACTTTTTTTTCAGCTTTACTTGTGGCAAATTTACCGTCTTTTACAACAAACAAACAAAAACTTGCCAACCATATCATTTCACACACACTCAGACACTATTATTTATATTCAACATATTTCTTGGAAACTATTATTTTATTATAATATTTGATTTATACAGTCACATGATATGCTAAATATTTTACCCATAGTTCTAGTCAAATATTAGCAAATCTTGAAGTAATCAAAACAGATATTCAAATCACAATAGAATTTCCTTCTTCAAAGTTATGACAAGTTGCTAAACAAATTTTTACATTCCTTTTAATACTTACTCAGCTTCCCTTTTATTTTATGTAACTATCCTAGCTTTGAACAAAGTGTGTGCAGACGTGAAAAACTTAGTTGCATTCAAATTAATTTTGAATCAGCCTCACACAAGAGAAAAAAAAAGTTCACATACTGCTTATTTTCCTTACTTTATTTACTATTGTTAATGAAGAACAAAAAATTTAACTGTGAATCATCTACAGCTGATTTGAAAACTATTGTAAAAAAATGTTTTAATTCACTAAATTATACAAGCCAGTCATTTACTTTTGCCAAACAAAGTAATGTGAGCCTTTTAACCACCCACAGAAGTGAAGGAGCAGTAACCTGACACATTGTTTGTACAGACAAGCAGCAATAAAATAATCAAAGTATTACTTGTATAAAATACCACAACTGAATATTAATTAAGTCATTCTCAGATTAGAGTTAATGTGATTAACTTCTTATGTTGGTATGTGAAGTTTGAAACCTATGTTTAATAAACTACAATTATTCAGTTATGTATAAATTTTTACCTATATCAGAATTGAATAATTTCATTTCGTTATGCACAGGTTTCAAACTAGGTTCACACAATAACTTTTAAGAAGGTATTGAAACACATGTACAAGGTCAATTACTTCATACTCACACAACAATTGACAATAGTAGTTTCATAATAAGGGGATCATTCCAAAACAAAGTATCAAAATTCGACCTTTTAACTAGCAGTTTAAAACATTATAAAAAAACTTTGAAGTTGAAAGTAATTGTATAGTAATGAATCAAGTTTTATTTTGAATGTAAAAAATATAATTACACAACTGAAATTTTCAATGTACTATTTTCAATTATCAGTATCCCGTATTTTTGATGACAGAAAATTTTTTTGTTAAATGAATTAATAATAGTCAAATGCTTTTATCCTTTCATAGAAGAATAAAATTTCAACCACTGGTTAAACTGTTAAAGGATGATTTTTCATCTTGCCCACTGGGATAAATGATGGGTTGTACCAACTTTTCAGGTTGTGAATTCTATGAAAAACAGTGTAAATTTGATAATTTCAAACATAACATTTATAATAATTCCAAATTATAAGATCATTAATCAAACGTTAGTGTGGTGACTTATCCAAATCTAGTATAAAACCAATTTTAATGAAAACACAAAAACACAATAGAACAATATACATACGATATCACTACAAAATATTTTTCTATGAATATGTTGAAGAAGTTCTTTGTTATTTACCTCCTGCATTTATTAGATTTATTAAGGCAGATATATAAAGCTTTTTTAATATGATCTTTCAAATGGGGATGACTATATAATAATAATAACTTGTATCTTACTAATGAACAGATTATTGCAAATCTTTTAATATATAAGAAAGTAAATGTTAAGTTAGTTAAAGTTCAATATTCTGACTTGTACAATATAACTGATCAATTAATCTCACAGAACTCTGGTTTAACCTTATGTGCATGGATAGGGGTCAAAGTGTGCACACCATGACCTTTTATAGAATGACATTCAGCATGGTATGTATTTGATGTCAGTTACCAACTATTCATTTTACCATACAATAGTTCATGATAGAGGAGACTAAAAAGCAGATACTGTATATAGGGATAAGAAAAAAAGATTGTAGATATGCATTTTGGAGGTTATGCAAATGTAATATTCAAGCTGTATGATGGAAAAAAGTATTTTAATTCTTCACACGAACATCATCTTTCACTCCGACTTGTCAGGGTCTGAGTCAGACTGATTTTATCAATTCACAGACATATCTTGAGTATAAATTCTTTTGTAACACATCTGGGTTTAAGTGTTTATCAGAATTGTACTTTTTTTACTCTAAGCCTGCTACATTTTGTGTACATACACATAGTAAATTTGGAATTACAGGTAAAATTCCTTCTCTAATACAGGATCGATTCAATGGACCAGCCCTGTGCACACTCAGTTAAGTAAGGTTTTGAATGTCAAACAGAATTGATAAGGAAACATTTTGTACGTGTAAACATTATGAAATTCTGCTGGTGGAGTCCATGTATTGTACCACACTGAATAATTTTGTTTTTTCCCTGTTACAAACAACCAAAAATTGCATGAACTCACTCATTTTCTAAATAAAATATTCAAGGACCCCAACAGTGTTTAGTGGGTTTAATTGCAATACTTATGGCATTTATGTTTTTTGTAACTTGTATGTTTATTAGGGAACCAGTGACCAAAAGAAATCATGGTCTCACAAACAATAGTGATCGAGATAAATAGTTTAGAAAAAATTTTTAAAAAATCAGTATGGCATAAAATTCATAATTTTAGGGTTTAAAAATATTGCTAATGTTAGCTTATTTTGCAGTACTCTTTTACATAGGTCACTAGATTAATCTTAAGCTCAGTTGCATGCCTTTGTTAATTTACTCTTTCTTTAAAAACTTCCAGTATACACAATTCTCAGTAGCTAAATACAGCATTTAAACATTTCCTGTCTGAATGTCTACACTACTGCAGCTTATTATGTAGAAAAGTGGACAGTAAAATTAGACTTTTTTCACATAATCCCTCTGTAGCTGCTACAGTTTTAGCCTAGAAAACAGTTGTATGCTGTTCTTCAACTCTTAGTGTTTCTGGTGATATACAATTCACATTATTGGACTATAGGTTTATAAATGTTTTGATAATTGTTTGGATTATCATTAAATTAAGAAACAGGAAAATCATATTAATGTAAATTTATATAAAGTAGTTTTAGATGCAAAAAAATGTGTTATGTAACATGTTATAAAAGATTTTACTCATTACATTTTTGTAAATTATACACTCAATCCAATAGTTTTTCCAAAATGTTTTACACAAGTTATTGTTCATATAAAAACACTGTAAGACAGCTTGTAAATATAAATTTCATAATGCACACATGAAAAGTTATTAGATGCCAAGAGATTAATAATTATGTTTCACTAAAATGTAAGTAATAAATGTTACACTATTAAGAGTACAAGAACGATATGCAATATTTTTATGATTGCTTTTGAACCTTAAGCAATTGCTTTCAATAACACTAAATGTCAGAAGGAAATGTGGTTTGACTATTTAAAAAAGCAACATCCCAAAAATGTAAACTGCCTAGTAAATATCAGATACCCAAACCACCATTACAAGAGGCCTAAATATTTGTACATGATGTAGTTATTTAAAAATTGGGCCTAAAAATGTAAAAGGCTAATTTTCTTTATTATTTTTATTTTATATGGTTTTGGAATTACACAGGTAAACCAAGGATTGGGTGAAAAATAACTTTATGACTGACAGAGGTCCTACTCTAGGTTAAAAATAACTTTCCAGGACATTTCAACCATTTTTCATGATACTTTATTTTATAACCTTTCATCACCCTTGATATCTACCCCACCCTCATGCTTTTTCAGTTTTTTATTTTTTTATTTTATCTAATTAACCATATTTTAATTAAGTTAGTTGATGAATGAGATCATTAACTGCTAGTAAATCAGATAATGAATTTCATAAAGTTAAAAGTCACAGTTTTCCATGACTTTTTGAAAACATTTATGTTTTTCTCCATTTTCTAGGATGCATGGGATCTCTGCCTAATTATAAACTAATATTAAAAGACTGTACTTTAAAATATTTGTATACTCTCTCTATGCTAAACACTGTTTAATTACTTGAGACACTGATCATGAATGGTAACTAGCCTATCGAAATGAAGTTATGCATAAGATTCATACAATTTGTTACAATACTTTTGTGAATATCACTGCCAATAGGTAATAAATGGAAAACAAATGATGATTTTAATATTAAACATTTGATACACAAGCACAGTGAAAAATCTTTGTACTATAATTTTAATTTTTTGACATGGAGTCCAGTTTATATTTACTTAAACAAGTAATCAAAAATTCCTATATTGCTGAATCTTGACAATTTAAAATAAAGTACATCAACATGTTTCACATTTATGTATAAAAATGATCAAAACTACCATATTAAGGCTATAAAATTTCAGGTAAAATGATTCAAAAATTACAGGATGTAAATTCTTATGATATATAATGCCTAGTTGCAGAAGCATGATCTGTAAATAGTTTGTTACATCACAATAAGAACCAAATAACAGGATTGAATATCATTTTTATAACCCCACAATAACTAAAACTGTGAAATGTGTTCAGAAGCATCAATTCTCAGACTGTGAACTCTTTGATCAGTCAGACAGGCTAACCAATAAGTCATGCCCAGCCCAGAATATTCTAGTCTCATAGCAGTTTCTAATGTTTCAATGGAAAAGCATGTGACAACTGAGTTAGTCCTAATACTTTTTGTTAATATAAATAAACTAAAATAATTACATCAAAACAATCTTTAAAATTGTTTCTCTGTCAATTATTCCTTTAATGTTTTTTTCTCTCCATGTAGAATTAATATCTTATACAGCTATTTGACAGCATGATATTTTCATCTCTTTCCTTTATAAAATTCAAGGTTTCTTTATTATTACTTCATATTGAAATATTAAGCGAAAAGTTATGTAAAAAAATAATTACTGGGTATTGACAATACATTGTTGCAAATAATGGTAACCACAGAAATTATGTGCAAACAGTTAACATTTCTTATCTGTGTTATGCACTTCAACTGATTCAGCAATTTATGGTTGAAATACTATCATATTCTTCTTACTGGAAACCCATACAAGACCAATAAAAAGAGATTTCATAAAAACTATTACTGGTATTACTGAGATGTAGTATCACACAACTACAGATTTGAATTAATCTAACAAGTTTCAACATTACCAATAAAAAATTATGATGAAACATTCAAATTACAGAAGTTTTACAATATGAGATAAAATATGTTATCTTCTTCAGCTACTGACACATTAATTATTCTCTACATCATTACACATTAAGAAAGTATAAAATAGAATTTAAAAAATTTGTTTTTACCTCCAAATGACTGGACATTTTGAGCTTTTTTGTGGTTTCTCCTGCATGTGGACAGTGTTCCATGAACATATTTGGAATATTGGAACCAAAGTAGACTTTGTTGTTCTGTGCAATTGCTTCATACTTTTTCAGTTCCAAATATTCTGGGGTCAGGAGTAGCTATAGTTTTGACAAGAAAAACATACAAGTTAAACAATCAGCATATGATTACCTAACTAACTATAAAAAACAGAACAGAATGAAAGATTACCTCACATCATTATATATCTACATATTTTGTTACTACTGCATTCTGTAGTGTGGATATCATACTCAAATAAAATTTCATAACCCTAATTAGGTGCATTTAAAGGGTGTGCACCTACTACAACCTAGGTGAATCATCTGGGGATCATATCTATCATTGACTTTAAACATATGAAGATTAGGCAAATGAAAATTGATTAGGAGCAATGCAATGAAATTGAGCAGAAAGATCATTATCACCAAATAAATCTAAATATACATCCCAAATCTATATTACTTTTTACATACATAATTTAAATAACAACTACTCACTTAACAAAATTTTCCATAAGTTGACACAGGGTAACATGTTATGAATATTAAAGAGTTACACCAATGACAGAAAACAAACAAAGGAATATTCTGTGATATTTCTATCTAAAACACAAAAAATTAAGTTAATTAACCCTTTAATGAATGTTGTGTGCACTCCATGTGACAAGTGCATACAACTTTCAACATTTCAGTAAACAAGACAGTTTTACCTACTTCAACAATTTTTTCATTCAAGATTATTCGAGATTTTTTAACTCAGTACTAGCTGGACAGGTGAAATAAAAACATGTTTGTAGCAAAGGATAGAAAAGTGCACTTCAATTTCTTTTTTCATAACATAATAAACGTTAAAAGTATAATAAAAAAATAAAGGTCCTAATATTGAAAAGAAAGACATACTGGTTTCAAGAATTCTATCAATATGAAATTACATGACTGGGTCCAACACACCCCCCCCCCCCACCTCATGACCTTCCTCATGTCACCCTGTATGACTGTGTCAAGTTGGGTGCTGATTGATCAAGAAATGTGGAAACATTTAAGAAACAGATACACATATATTGACATTTATTTATATAGAAAGTAGGTGTGGTTGAGGGGGGGTCAACCCCTTCATGACCTTCCTCATGTCATCCTATATTAGTGTCAAGTTTAGTGCTGACTGTTCAAGAAGTGTGGAAATATATAAGGAACAGATGGTTGAAAGGTGTGAACAAACAGACACAAACTTAGCTTTATATATTTGATTATATAATGCTGATCTAGCTCAATTATTTCATAAATAAAAATTAACAAAGTTTTCAGTAGTGTATCTAGGTGTCTCAACTATAAACATAGGATGTCCAGATTTTTTAGGAATTTTTGTTTACGAGTTTGCCTTTTGAAACAAGTTAAACACAGTCAAAACAAATAAACAATATCACGTAGGAGTTTGTTGACCAGTTTTTTTCTGCCAGAAGACAACGTGAGACTGAAGACGACGCACGAACTAGTTACAAAACCTTTAGGGTTCGAAGCTTTAGTCACTACTTATAAAGCAATGGACTTAATTTCATTTACTGGTGTAAAGTATCGATTTGCAGTTTCACTCCTTTGTCGTTGAAACTCAAATTGTTTTCTCGACAGGTCATTTCTATGGGCAGTGGTGGGGTTCAGCCGGTTCGTGCGAACATGTTCTTAGAATTTAATGACCTCCACGAACCGGTTGTTAACAATAGTTTGTTACGTCTCCG